GATGCATACTTGCCCTTAGGTCACCTTCTCATCTTTAGACAATCCAGGCTGCCAGCCCACGGATGATTCTTTCTACCTCAGTTGAAATAATCCAGATAATCCCTCACAAGCATTCCCATAAATTTATCTCTGTTGTGATTCTAAATCCTGTCAAGTTGACAATTATTATTGGATTAGAACACACTAATTTCACAGGACATTATCTTAACTTGACTAAATCTGCAGGAGCCATTATTTCGAAATAAGGTTACTCACAGTTTTTGGGTGGACATTGATCATGAAGGAACACTATTCACCACAGTTCTACATAGTCTATTGTCTCTCTAAACTGCTAGAATGTTAGCACCGTAACATTAGGGTTTATTGTTTGTTTGGGGGTTTGTTGAGATTATAGTATGATTATAACATTAATTGTTATCATATGCATGTGTATACATGCACACATGTATGTTAATTCTATATATGTTTTCAGGGCTGACGATTTGTCACTAGCCAATTCATTGGTGTGCTCTTCCCTGGGGAGGGTCACCTTTTCCACTCCCAGCTTTCCTCAGTTGCCTATACTTCTTTGTGTATGGTCGAGGACTTGTGGGTTTTCCCCCATCCACTTTGGCACGTTCATTGATGCTGTACTTTTCATCTCACATTTGGGCAGTCATGTTGATGAGACTTTACGGTGTAGCTTCTGACATTACTAGAAGATTGTTGTCTGTTTTATTTATTGTTATATCTTCAGTGTTCAGAGGAATGTTTGCTACATAGTAGATATAGTATTTTGTGAATGAACCTTAGGACTTATCTACCTCCAACTCCAGAGGGAATTTGAATGCAGGTAAGGATGAATATGCAGGCATTGCCTGGAATATGGACAATGCTTTACAAATGTTTGCTGGATGAATAGAAATATTCACTAGATATATGACTTTAACATTTACAGAATGCCTCTTTTGTACAAGGCACTGGGAGGATATGGAAAGAGGTGAGAAGAAAACTGCTGAATAGGTAATCTGGCTATCCCTCTGAGTGATTCATTCAGTCTTCATTTTATTTTCCTTTTTATTGAATGGAGATAATAACAGAACCTACCACATAACATTGTCATGAGGATTGAGTTAGATCATATGGTTAAGTTGTTTGGCATAGTACCCAGAACATGGGAAGCATCATAACAGTAATAACTGCTATTATTATAGCTGGTATTGTTATGTGCTAGTTTTGTGCAACACTTTTCCTTTAAAAAATGCACATGTGATGAAACTGCCTCCCACCCCCCACCCCCCACATACACACTTTTTTTTTTAAAAAAAAAAAAAGACAGACTGTCTCTCTGTAGCCCTGGCTGTTTTGGAACTTGTTCTACAGATCAGGCTGGCTTTGAAGCTGGAGATCTGCCTGCCTCTGCCTCCCAAGTGCTGGGATTAAAGGTGGAAACTGGACCTTTTAAAAAGTACCATTTAATGGCTTTTAGTATACAAGCAATGTTGGACTATCATTACCAAAGTCTACTTTTAAAGATCTTTTTTTATCCCTTCCAATAAAATCCCATACACATTACTAGACACTTTCTTTCTAATTAATTAATTAATTTTTAATTTCATTTTACATTCCAACCACAGTTCTCCCTCTCACCCCTCCTCCTACCCCCCCCCCCCGCCTCCCTGCCCCCAGTACACCTCCCATCCACTCTTCCCAATGGGTAAGAGCTCCTATGTGGAGTCAACAAAGACTGGTGCATTAAGTTGGAACAGGATCAAGCCCTCGCCCCTGCATTCAGGCTGAGCATGGCATCCCACCATAGGGAATGGGTTCTGATAAGTTAACTTTATGCACCAGGGATAGATCCTAGTCCTAAGTAGACACTTTCTACTTTCTCACCTAGCTAGCCTCTGCTGCTACTCTAATTCTCTTATCTATAAAGTTGTCTATTTTAGAACTTCATATAAAAGGAATCACACAATATTTGTCTTTTGTGATTGGCTTATTTCTCTTAGTATAATGTTTTTACAATTCACCCAGTATATATACGTGTGTGTATGGAAATATGTTTTGTTTTCAATACATCTGACTCTAGTTTCTCCTCTCTTCACTCCTTCCAGTCCCCCTCCCATCCCTCCCAGTTCCCACCCACCTCCCTTCTCATCCACATTTTTTTGTATCAATACTTCATCATTTCTGTTGTTGTTTTGAAACAGAATTTCACCATGTAGCTTAGGCTAGCTTGGAATTCACAGTCCTTCTGCCTCCCCATCCTGGGATTACAGGCATGCAACGCCACACTAGAAATTTCATTTTTTTTTAGTGGTGAAAGAACATTCTGTTTTTTATCTTAGATTTATTTATTTTATGCATGGGTGTTTTGCCAACATGTATGTGACATGTAACATGTATGTGCCTGGTGCCCACAGAAGGGGTTGAATTCCCTGGAACTGGAATTATGGATGACTGTGAGCTGCCTTGTTCTGCTGGGAATTAAGCTCAGGTCCTCTGCGAGAACAAGTGCTCTTAACTACTGAGCCATCTCTCCAGTCCATAGTTCAATTTTTTATTATACTACATTTTGTTTATCCATTCATCAAGTGATTTGTTTGGATGTTTATACTTTGGGGTTGTTGTTATTATTTATAAGGCAACAATGAATACACCATGGGATTTTTATAGTTGTACATTATCATTCCTCTTGGACAGATACCCAGAAGTAGAACTATTGGCTCTATTTTTTTCACCTTTTAAGGAATAGCCAGACTGCTTACAAAGCTGTGACTCCATTTTACATTCCTGCTCGCAGTGAATGATGGTTCCAATTTCTCCATGTTCGTGATAACCTTTTTTTATTGTAAATACCTTTGATTTAGTCATCATAGAGGATATGGTATTTTATTGTGTATGTTTAAGAAACTGATGTTTAGGGACTCAGAGGTTAAAAGTACTTGCTGCTCTTCCAGAGTACCCAAGTTCATTTCCCAGCACCCACATCAGCTCCCACCACTCACAGCTATCTGTAACTCCAGCTCCAGGAGATCTGATGGTCTCAAGCACACCTGTACATACATAGCATACACTTACACACACACAATAATAATAATAATAAACCTTTAAAAAGAAATTTCCACTAACTTTATTTCACTTTCTGTTCAACAGCCTGTGGAAGAATAGCTTAGGAACATTCACTCTATCTGTTCCTATACAGGCAATCCTGAGAAGTGGAAGCTTAAGCCCAGCATTCAGTGGCCACGTGAGCACACTAGAGAACTGCCGCATAGGCTCAGAAAACATTTGCCATGCCTTCAAACCATTTTGGATCCAAGCTCATGTCAGAAAGCTGGCTCTTCTGTTGTCACTGAGCTTCCTCTTTAGTCCCAGCCTTTTCAGCACCTTTGAGTCTGCCATTCCTGTTCAGTCTCAACACAGAACATTTATCACTGGGAAAATCAGGAATGGCTTCAGAAAAGTGGCATTTGACTTAGGATTTTCTTCTTCTTCTTCTTCTTCTTCTTCTTCTTCTTCTTCTTCTTCTTCTTCTTCGTCGTCGTCGTCGTCGTCGTCGTCGTCGTCTTCTTCTCCTCCTCCTCCTCTTCCTCCTCCTCCTCCCTCTCCTTCTTCTTCTCCCTTTCTCCTCCTCCTCCTTCTCCTTCTTTTTCTTCTTCCTTCTTCCCTTTCTTTTTCTCTACTCCTCTTCTCCTCTTTCTCCTTTTCCTTCTTCATGTGTATGGCTGTTTTGCTAGCACTTATGGAGAGTACATGGTGCATGAAGGCCAAAAATGTTGTCAGATTCCCCTGAAACTGGAGTTAACAGATGGTTTGAGCTGCCACTTGGGTGCTAGAAATTGAATTCAGGTCCTCTGAAAGAGCAGCCAGTGCACTTAACTTCTGAACCATCTCTCTAGCCCCCAAAGTTTCTATTGTTGCTATATTTTTGAGATAGCATCTCATACTGTAGCTCAGGATGGTGTGGAACTCATTATTGAGCCCAGGTTGACCCTGAACTCTTGGCAATTCTTCTGACTCAACCTTACAAGTGAAGGCATTATAGACCCATGGTGAATATTTGATTTGTCTTGATGGATAGCATTGGCTGGCAATAATGGAATGAATAATGGAATGAATGAAAATACCATTTCCATGGGGAATAGAAAATGATGGTTGAAGAAAGATGCTTTGAAATCAAGTCAGACTCTGATGGGGAGTCCAGCGACTGTTTGGAATGGATGATATTGAGGTTGTCTTGGTCAGAAGTGACTGGCTAACATGGGGAATCCTAGGGTTGGGAATATGAGCATTGATCTGGATGGAGAATTTAGAGGCTGACTGGAGGTAAACACCTATGAAGTTCCATGTGTGGTGATGGTGGTGGTGATGGTGGTGGCGGTGGTGGCGGTGGGAGTAGGAGTAGAATTCCAGGGGCTGCCTGGGATAGGGAACTACAGACTGGGTGGGCTATAAGATCACAGAGCTAGAGAAATATAGAAGGACAGGGATGGAGGAATGGTCTATAGACAAGTTGGAATGAAAAATCAAGAGATTGTCATGGGGCCGGAAGGATAGGGAATGGGATATTATTTGGGATTGGCAGACTAGAAGTATAGAAGTCTGAGTTGGCCAAGTCTTGAGACTGCCTGGGATGGGTGCTCTGATGGTTTGGATCTTGGGCCTGACCAGCGCACGTTAGAATAGGTTGGAGGGCTTCGTTAGACTGTTAGGTGAGGCCCCCAGGACGGCCGAAATGGAGATATCTCCTACAGACTGAGCTAAGGCTGGCCACCAGCTGAGGTGCCAGTGCCTTGGGACTGGTCCAGCTCGGGTGCTGGTGGCTACTGCAGGTGGGGCGCGCGAGGGCGGGTCGGGAGAGATGGGTGGGGCAGGGGCGGGGGTGGGGGCGGGCCGGGCAGCCGGGGCGGTCCCGCGCAGCCGCGCTGCGCAGTGACTCCACAGCGGCGGAGCGCCCTGGGCCGCGTCCTTCCTAGCCCTGGTGGTGGTGGTGGTGGTGACGGCGGCGGCAGCAGCAGCCTCAGCTCCTGCGCCCCGTGCCGCCGGCCCCAGCGCTGTCTCCCGGGCCCCCTAGGGCCCCCGGGCCCCCGAGCCCGGTGCGCGCCCTCGCGTCCCGCCGGCCCCCTCCCCCGGCTGGGCCCGGGGGAGGGTGGCGCCGTGAGCGAGCGGGGACTGGGCTCTCTTGCCCATTCCCCTGTCCCTGGGCCGCCAGGATGGAGGCGGGGTCCGGTCCCCCGGGTGGCCCGGGATCTGAGAGCCCCAACCGGGCGGTGGAGTACCTGCTGGAGCTGAACAATATCATCGAGAGTCAGCAGCAGCTGTTGGAGACCCAGCGGCGGCGAATCGAAGAGCTGGAGGGCCAGTTGGACCAGCTCACCCAGGAGAACCGCGACCTGCGGGAGGAGAGCCAGCTGCACCGCGGGGAACTGCACCGGGACCCCCTTGGCGCGCGGGATAGCCCTGGCCGCGAGAGCCAGTACCAGAACCTGCGCGAGACCCAGTTCCACCACCGCGAGCTGCGGGAGAGCCAGTTCCACCAGGCGTCCCAGGACGTGGGCTACCCGAACCGGGATGGCGCCTACCAGAACCGGGAAGCTATCTATCGGGACAAGGAACGAGAAGCCTCCTATCAGCTCCAGGACACTACCGGCTACACAGCCCGCGAGCGCGACGTGGCCCAGTGCCACCTGCACCACGAGAACCCAGCCCTGGGTCGCGAGCGTGGCGGGAGGGAGGCTGGGCCAGCGCACCCAGGCCGCGAGAAGGAAGCCGGCTATTCCTCTGCGGTGGGCGTGGGGCAGCGGCCACCGCGGGAGCGGGGCCAGTTGAGCCGTGGCGCATCCAGAAGCTCCAGCCCTGGCGCGGCCGGAGGTCACAGCACCAGTACCAGCACCAGCCCGGCTACAACCCTCCAGAGAAAGTAAGAAATGTGTTTGCAACCCTCACCCCACCCTTCCCTTTCCCTCTAGATTCCTCTCCAACTTATCTGGCGGATAAAGTATATGAAGCCCATGCCTGATTCCATTTCCTGCTTCTCCTGTCCCAATCGGGAGAAGCCAGGTCCTCCTCAACCAACTAACAATGCTTTCGGTAGCCACCGCACACTGGTTTGAGCAGATGAGTGCAGGCTGCTGCTTCTTCTTTTTTTTTTTTTTCCTCCAGAACCAAGACAGTTAGAGACTAAAGCAATCCCCACTACCTCCCTCCACTTCTTCAATCCCCAGCTATATCCTTTCTGGAGGATGGATTAAATATTTTTTTTTTAGACAGAGGTGGTATCAACTCAAAGCTCTAAAGGAGAGAAACACTCCTACACACCTTTTTGGGATTTTTTTGGGGGGGAGGGGGTGTCTAGTCTTGTCTAGAGGCAGATGGGGACCAGAATGGATTCTGATGGCTGAGATATCCCTCTGAGGGGAACTGCAGCACATCTTGGCACGGAGAGGGGGTGGTGGTGATGGTGGCAAAGATGGGGGAGCAAAGATGGAAGCTAGGCCCTTGGTTAGTTTCTCAAAGTCCAGCTGGTCTCCACCCTTCAAGAAAAACAACACCCATTTAAAGAGCCCTACCAGGAGGGGAAGTCCGTAGCTCTCCCATCTGTTGGATCAGCTTCAGTTCTGGTGCTGGGGTCTGTACGTGTGTCTGAGACAGGATAGGACTATTTTCTGAGTTGATGGGACATGGGCAGGGTCCACTTTTCCCATAGAGATCCCATTGTGTGCTGGTTGGGATAAATGTATTAGGCTGTGAGTCAAGGGCATGAAGACTCACAGGGATGCCCTAAAGGCTCTCCTCTTGCTTTGCTGCTACAGTGGAAAGAACACTGAACTGGGAGATAGAAGAACTGGGTTTCCCTTCCAGCTCTGTTGCAGATTGGCTTTGTGACCTTGACTGAGTCCGTTCTTCTGTCAGTCCATCATTTCCCCTATGTTTCTTTTAAAGGCAAGGTGTGCCAACTGAGATTCAATGGGTGTCTTACTAACCTAGCCACACCAAAGAGCAAGTCTGAAGTCCTTTAGCAAATGGCCAGGCTTCCCCCTCCTCTCACAGCTCAGCTGGTCCTACCATGTGCCACAACTAGTGGAGTGTCTCTTGGAGGCTGGGCTGGGGGTGGGGAAGCCTTCTGCCTCAGGAAATCTGCCGGGAGACAGCTCTCTGCAACTCCCCCATGGTGAGGCAGCAGGCTGGGATGCTGGGTTGAGATGGCTGGGCCCCAGGAGCAGCAGCTGCAGCTTGAGGGCTTGGCTGGGCTCCACTGCAGTGCACCCTTAGCAGAGTGTTGGGGTGGAGGGACAGCCCCAGAATGGGGGCAGAGAAAGACTGGATGGGGCATTGTGGTCCTTGAACCTGGTTGCAGACTTCTCTAGAGAGGTCAGGCCTGTGATGGAGGGAGCAGCCCCATTATATATGACTTCAGGAAGCAGATCCAGGAACAGTGGGAACATTTGAGATAAAAATCAAGAGAACTTTTCAACCTAGCCAGTTGTGATGCAGTAGATTGCCTCAAAGGATGGGGGTAGTAGCTGGCCCGACACGTCCAGTCGAGGCCCAAAGTGGGTCCGAGAGAGCTGGAAGAAGCATGTAGTTCCTGACTCTGGCATTAAGCCCAGTGAAAAGACCGGAATCTTCCTCAATTTCAGAATTCCGTTGCTTTCATATTCTCCATCCTGCAGACATAGGTCTGAATTTATTGGCTGGCTGGAAGCCCATTTGCCCTTCTGCCATCCTTGCAGGCCTGCTTCGGACTCCTTCCTTCTTTTTTTGTGCACTTTCCAGGTCGCTTGTTGGAATCCCTTGCGTCACATTTCCTACTGGGCTAATAAAGAGGTTTAAATGGCACTTTGAATGTCTTTCAACTACGTATTAACTGCTTGCCTATCTGTGATTACTTCATTTGGGCTTCACAACAGAGCATCAGCAACTCCATTTTAGAGAAGGAGAAACTAAGGCTTCAAGTCAAAGGGGCTTTATTCAAGGTTAAGCTACTAGTTGCTAATGGAGCTGGGACTAGAATCGAAAACTGCCTATCTTAAAGGCACCTTACTTGTTCCCTAGCGCTTAACCCCTAGGAATCTTGGCCTCAGGACCTGGTGGGGCACTGAACTCAGAAAAACCAAGAAAGCCCTAGGTATCTCCAGGTTTTGAACTAGAAGAGATGGTTCTGGGGTGAGTGGAGGAGTCTATGGGGGAGAATAGACGGCTACCTTCCTCTTTCCCACCTTCCTTCTCACCGGGTGTCAGGAGAACCTGTAGCCATTGCAGTAACCAGTGCTGCTGCAAGCGACTCCCCTGCTAGGCCTGTTCTGGGTTTGTAAGGAGTGGGTGAGAAGGCTGCTGTTGGAAGCGCGGGCAGGCAGGGTGGGAGTTCAGCAGCTGGGGCTGCAGCATTGGGGGAGGACAGGCAGAGCTGCTACAGGCTGGGCTCTGCTGGGCCCCAGGCTCCCCCTGGTGGCAAATTGGGGAGAAATAGGGCCTGGGTCAAGCTGGAGCTTGGTGGGAGCTAGGTCTGCCTAAGACTCAGTTCTCCCAACCACCCTGTGTGCCTGTCACTACCATCATGTCACAGCATAAGAAGCTGGGGGCTCCGAGAAGTAAAGTGGTCATATCGGAGGTCGCACTGATAACATAATGTACACAGCGTATTCCTGTGAACTTTGCCTTCTTTGCTTTGGGTATCCTCCATCCACATCGCACTGATAACATAATGTACACAGCGTATTCCTGTGAACTTTGCCTTCTTTGCTTTGGGTATCCTCCATCCACATCCGTAGCATATACCCAGAACTCCTATGTCCTTTCATACTGCTCTCCTGGACAGGTTCCAGGATGCCAGAATCTATTCTGGCGTGCTCTGGGTGTGGTCTTCCTAGTGTGACAGAAAGCGACATGAATCCCTATCTCCTTCTGGTCACTGGTACATGAGGATTTAGTTGTTTGCTTACTAGTTGTTGATCCTGACTGATGGTTATCTTTTTACATGGAACTGTCACCTCCTGCCATGATTTTAAAAGAGATCTTTTTTGTTACTAAGCTTGGTTTGACACCCCCCTCCCCCCGCTAATTCTGACACCTAGAATGAATGATTTCTAGAGGCTTGGAGCCACTGCTGAGTAACCCGTGCTGAAGAGAGCTGTGTTCCTACATTGTCTGCATGGGCCTAGCTCCACCTCTGCTTTATGCAGTGGTGGGCTGAAGCCAATATGGTGGTAACTGTCTATCCTCAGCCCCCACCCGCCCTGCAGACTGGCTCACATTTGGATACTGAACCTAGAGAGGCCAGCCTGCTGTTCTTGACACCCAGGGCGATGCGTGGTCTATCACATCACTGCTGAACTATCGTTGACTGCAGGTGGTGGGGTGTCAGCATGCTGTCTACAGGAGCTGAGGCCAGAGAGAGAGAAAGACAGAGAGAGAGAGAGAGAGAGAGAGAGAGAGAGCGAGAGCAAGTGAGCGTGAGCGCAGGGAGAGGCTCGGGGGAAGCCTGGCTCCTTTGGCATGCTGGATTCTTTTTCTAGGGTGTCTCTCCGTCCTTTCAGGAGGGAAACTGCTTATTGCCCCCTCCACTGTGTTGTGAGAGAAAATGATAATGTTGAATTTCATGAGAATTAGGAGTCTTGCTTCTCTGTCTAGATCTGGGGCAAGAATGGGGTTGTTGTCATCCACAAATATTTCTTGGCTGTATTCACAGAGCAGGAGGGGCCACCAGGCTGAGCAAACACCATGCTCTTGGCACTTGCAGAACTCTCTTCCCACCAGCCATGAAGACAGGGTTGCGGGCTTAGTCAGGCCGCAGACACAGTACTGAGGAGGACAGAGTAAACAGAAGGGGTGGGGTTTCTCAGAGGATAGAAGGATCAAGACAGACAAGGCCGCTGCTTGAGGACCTGGGCAGTAGAGGAAGGTGCTTTGAAGAACCAGCTGGGCATAGTCCCTTGGTGTCTAGTTGACAGAAGGAAGACAATGTAGTAATATGGGGCGGCAGGGCTGCGTCCCCCACACCCGGCCGCCCACATGGCTAGCTTATGCCCCAAAATAATTACACAGACACTGTATTCTTTTAAGCACTGCTTGGCCCTTTAGCTCTAGCACTTACAGGCTAATTCTCACATCCCGATCAACCCATCTCTAATAATCTGTGAGAACCGGTCTTACCGGGAAGATTCTAGCCTAGTCCATCCTGGGTCGGAGCTTCATGCCGGGAGCGGGGCATGGTGTCTCTCTCTGAGGCGTCTGCTCCCGAGAGAGCAGAGCTGTGGAGTCTCTGCCCTCACTTCCTCTTCCTCCCAGCGTTCTGTTCTGTTTACTCCTCCCACCTATCCTCTATCCTCTAACCAATAAAATGGGCCAGGGCAGTGCCTTTATTAGCCAATGACCTTCCTCCATCATTTCCCCTTTTTCAGTTTAAACAAAAAAAAGGCTTTAACATAGCAAAATTACATATAACAAAACAGTTATCAAGTAAAAGTTACAATAATCTTTATCATAACTAAGGAAAACTATAACTATAACTAACTATTCTTAACTCCATCAAAGACTCCAGAAAGATACAATACTATCTAAGCAAACAAGAAAAAAGCAACTTTTAAAACTCTAGAAATGACAGCGACATCTCGCTGCCTGGACAGTCACCCAAAGTTCCTCTGTACCGTTGGGGCATCCATCTTCAAGCCTTCAGGCCCATGGTATCCAGCAGACATTTCCATAAAGCAGGAAAATTCAAAGTCAGTTCAGTCACTATCTGTTGTGTCCTGCAGAATGTCTCGCAGACTCTTTCATGAATCAGGAACCCCGAAAGATCATCTCACCTTAGGCAAGTTCAGTAGTCCTCTCTCTGCGGGTTCTCTGTGTCCGGTTTATGCAATAGTCCAGGCAAGAGCAGTTTCTTGCCCAAATGGCTATCAAAACTCCATAACGAGCCTC